TGAGCTTCTCTGAATCGGGGCACCTGGGATAGTGTGCAGGGGGAGCTCTGAGGTTCCCTTTAATCTGAGACTCTGTGCTAAAGGTGCAGTGACGAGGGTGAGAGGAGCAGAGAGAAGAGAGAGACCACAGAGAAGGAAAATCGAGGTGGCCTCAGCGTGGGCAGGTGAAAGCTGGTTAGGATTTGGGCAAGAGGGGTTGGAAGAGGCTGGGTGCTGTGGCTCACACCCGTAATCCCAGCACTTTGGGAGGCCGAGGCAGGCTGATCACTTGAGGTCAGGAGTTGGGGACCAGCCCAGCCAACCTGGTGAAACCCTGTCTCTACCAAATACACAAAAATTAACCAGGTGTGGTAGCACACACTTGTAATCCCAGCTACTGAGGAGGCTGAGGTGGGAGAATCGCTTGAACCTGGGAGGCGGAGGTTGCAGTGAGACAAGATCATGCCACTGCACTCCAGTCTGGGCAACAGAGGAGTTGGAAGAAGGGGTGGAGGAGCAAGGAGATGGAAGGTACAGGAGTGGGGTAAATGTGCTTCTGGCCTCACCCGGCGCTGGCACGAAATAGGTGGCTCAGTAAATCCTGGCTGTTTTCTACACTAGACTGAAAAGGTGGTTACTGACTCCAGAGGGAGTTAATTTCATTTCCTTCCCCAAGAGCAGCTCTTGGGAGGGTACGTGAAACTTGGATAATGAGGCACACATTTAGGCTGCTGCAAATGGCTTTGCCCTGCTCTTCCGTCTTCGGGGTTTCACCACGTCCTGGTTGCGTGGCTGTGGGATGAGTTAATGAAGAAGAGCAGCCTGTCTAGGGAGGACCCTGACCTTGAGAGGGAAGAGGGCTGTGCCGCTCTGCCCCCATTCCTAGCTGAAAGACCCCTGCCCCAGCAATGTCCAGGAGTGGGAACAGGCTGTTTACCTCTGGTGTCTGCAGTGTGGGGGATCCTCCCCCTCATCCTGCACCCCATTTTCTCCCCATAGTGCTTCCTCTGGAGAGGCAGCTCCACGAGGCCGCCCGCCAGAACAACGTCAGCAGGATGCAGGAGCTGATTGGGAGGAGGGTTAACACCAGGGCCAGAAACCACGTGCGTAATGAGCTTCTCTGAATCGGGGCACCTGGGATAGTGTCATGATAATGCCAGTACACAGGGGGAACAGTTCATCTGAGCTACAGGCAGGTGCATTTGCATGTGTTAACTTGGAGGGAGGCTCAGGCTCTGTCCTCATGGCCTGCATTGTCTTGAGGAATCTAAGGAATCTAAGGAATCTAAGGCTTAGAGTGGTTGGACCCCTACCCAAGGTCAGGGTCAGGATTCCAAGCCAGGCTTGGCAATTCCAGAGGTCAAACTCTTAACTTCTGGGACCCATCTGAGAAGTTAGAGCCAGGAGGGCTAGGGTCAAAGGTCAGCAGCCAGAAGCTGGGAGATGGGCAAAAGAGGAGGACAGACATTACACAAAGCATCCCACAAACAATTCATTCTCTCTGTGATAAGTTGTCGTAACAGCGTGTGCAGGAGGGTCGGGAAAAGCCTCCCAAGGAGGTGGCTTTTTTTATTTTTTCTTTGAGACAGGACCTCACATCACCCAGGCTGGAGCGCAGTGGAATAATCACAGCTCACTGCAGCCTTGACTTTCCTGGGCTCAGTTGATCCTCCCACCTCAGCCTCCTGAGTAGCTGAAACTACAGGCACGCACCACCATGCCAGGCTAATTTTGTATTTTTTCTAGAGATAGGGGTCTTGCTATGTTGCCCAGGCTGGTCTCAAACTCCTGGACTCAAGCTATCCTCCCACCTCAGCCTCCCAAAGTGCTGGGATAACAGGCGTGGGCCACCTCACCCTCCCGGAAGTGGCATTTTTGAGGAGCCAGGTGAAGGACAGTATTCTAGGCAGAGAGAACAGTATGGGCAGAAACCCTGAGGAAGGAAGGAGCAGCTGGGCTCCAGAGAGGGGATGTGGCTTGCCTGAGACCACGCAGAAAACTAGTGCTTCCTTTCATTGTCCCCTCGTAAGCTGAAAACTACAGAGGGGAGAAGTGGGCACAGGGGCCACAGGCCAGCTTCCCCCAGGCCTGCTTGGATGGCATTTTGAACTGCCAGGGTGGTCTGAGAATGAGATGGTGCATCAGGCCCCTTCAGCCCCATTCTGAGAGAAGGAAGGGGACAGAACCCAGGGACTCCAGTGCCTCTCAGGGACTTGGAGGATAATCCTTGGCCACATGGGCTTTCCAGCAGGGGCAACAGCAGGAAAAGGCCTAGAGGTGGGAAGCTGCTTGGCATTTCTGAGAAGCAGGGGTGGGCAGCGCCAGACCATGCAGCGCCTCATCATCTCCAGGGTCAGGAGTTTATTCTGAGAGCCATGAGAAACTAAAGAGTTTTAGATGGGGACAGATGGGTCCAGTCATTTTACTATGTTGGCTTTGGTTGCCATGCAGGAGAGGAGCATGTGGCAGAACGGGGGGGGACCAGAGCCAGCAAAGACCCTTCCAGCCTGCAGACCAGCTGTCCTGGCGGAGGGTGTGGGAGGTGGTCCAGGCAGCCAGGTGGCAGCAGCACCTGACAAGTGTCATCTCCCTCTGGGCAGGTGGGCAGGGTGGCCTTGCACTGGGCTGCAGGTGCGGGACACGAGCAGGCTGTGCGTCTGCTTCTGGAGCACCAGGCTGCTGTGGACGAGGAGGATGCGGTAGGGGCCCTCACAGAGGCACGTCTGTGTGTGCGTGTCTGTCTGTCTGTCTGTCTGTCTCAGGGTGGTGGGGGGCACTGGAGATCTCTCTGGGTCTATGAGCCGGTTGCTGAGATTGCTGCTAATATGCAGACATTCAGGTGCAGAGTGGCAGGGAGTCAGAGGCTTCAGGTGCCAGGGACACTGCACTGGTTCCATGTTCCTCCTATACAGTAATGAAGAGCTCTCCACTTTCAAGGGTCTTTCAGTTCTCAGAGAGCCTTTTCAGTCCCTCATGAAAGCATGTGAACAGGGAGAGGGCTGTAGAACAGATAATTGGGTGGATTGATAGAGGCCTGATTAGCAAAAGCACCAGGAGGAAGGTCTCTCACGATATGCCACAGGGCTCTGCCCCGGCTAACACTTCAATCAAAGTCTTGAATAAAGACTAACAGTCTTAGTTAAACAATTGGCAGGCAGTGTGTTGCTGAGAGAGAGCACTGATGAGTAACGGGGTCTGTAAAATTATCTCTACAGGTTTGGGAAAAAGGCTGAATCTAATAATGACATTTGAAAGGGATACTCTTATGGCTTTGTCTACATTTAAATTTTAAAAAGTGCCTGGGCGCGATGACTCATGCCTGTGATCTCGGTACTTTGGGAGGCCAAGCGGGTAGATCACTTGAGCCCAGGAGTTTGAGACGAGCCTGGGCAACATGGCGAAACTCCGTCTCTACCAAAAAATACAAAAATTAGCCAGTCTTATAAACTGGTGTCTAAATAAATAAATAGGTAAAAATTTTAAAATAAAAAATAAAACCGTAAACTTCCCTGCAGCGACTTAGTTGTCCATGAAAACAATTTTCTTTGTTCCGGCTTCTCTCTGCTCCCAGGCCCTGCTGTGTGGGGGTTGATTACTAGTTGGGGTTGAAGTGAGGCAGCAACCCTTACCTCCCCATTCCCCAATCCTGTCTCTTCCCTGTACCTGCTTAGGCCTCATTTAGGGATGCCTTTAGGAGCAGAACGTCTAGGATCCTTAGTCTGAGCTCCCTGGTGAAACACTAGAGGCTCTTGCATCAACTCTTTCTACCCACAAAGACCCCCACTATCACCACTATGCTGTCACTTGTTCCTTCGAGGGTTTAGTGAAAAAAGAAGCTATGAGGGAGAACAGTAAGAGGGGGCCCTTTTAGAAATCCTCCCGGTTGGCTGGGCGCGGTGGCTCACACCAGTAATCCCAGCAGTTTGGGAGGCCGACGCAGGAGGATCACCTGAGATCAGAAGTTCCAGACCAGCCTGGCCAACATGGTGAAACCCCGTCTCTACTAAAAATACAAAAATTAGCCAGGTATGGTGGCACACTCCTGTGATCCCAGCTACTGGAGAGGCTGAGGCAGGAGAATCGCTTGAACCTGGGAGACGGAGGTTACCGTAAACCTAGATTACAGCACTGCACTCCAACCTGGGTGACAGAGTGAGACTCCGTCACAAACAAACAAACAAACAAAAACCTCTCTGTTTCTTTTGCAAATGGCAATACGTAACATTTTGAAAAATAAGACGGCATGGTGGGCTTGCCTGCTGTAGTAATGGGGTTCAGGAGATACTGGAGAAAGGAAATCCTGTTGCTGGAGGAAGATCTCTAGTGATATGCCACAGGACTCTGGCTTGGATAGTTCCTAGGAACTATGTATGTGGGGAAAGCTGGTTTAGGACTGTGACATATCCCAGGGGTCCCCACTGTCAGGAGGCTCTGGCTCCCATGGCTCTCCCTCCCCCAGTCCTGAGCCTTTACCCTTTTTATTCCTGAGCACCTGTGGACTTCTTCCTCTGGACTCTGCCGGTGCTTGTTCTTTTTCCTCCCTCCTGCAGCCAGCCCACAGTTGCTGATATTCTACCAGGCGCTGAGCTCTGAGCCAGTGCCGGGTCTCCTGGCCTCTTCAGCTCTAGTTAAGGCCAGATGTAGACCCTCATTTGTTTTTGTTTGTTTGTTTGTTTGTTTTTAAATTTTAAAAAATATGCCCCAATCTTGGATGATAGACCCTCATTTGAGGCTCTTTGCTGGGTCCAACACCTTCCCTAGGAGTTCAGGAGGAAGAATTTAAATGCTTGTGGTCCTTGCTGTCTCTTACTTTTGGTCAACTTTTGGCATCCTCTTGAAATTTTGCAAATAGTCCTTTGATTCCACCCTGGCTTCATCCCAAACATGATGCCTCTCCCTGGGACTCCATTCACAGAAGGCTTGTAGTGTGGGATGGCTTTCCAAACTGGAATATAGAGGGGACCTATATCACACACAAAAACAATGTAAAAATCCTAAAACCCCCTCTTTGACATTCTGTTCTTTAAAGGCCCTTGGTTCTTTCCTTGCCTTGGGCCCAGCCTCTGCTCCCCTCCCTCTCTCCAGTGCTGTCCTTGTCTGCACTGCCCGCTTCCTGCCTCCAAATTCCCGCCTGTTTCTAAAGCAGAGCAGAGCAACTCTCTTTGGATGCTCGGGAGCCTGCTGATCAGTGAGTTCCCTCTGAGTTTCATCTTTTGCCTCAACCCTTTGTTAAGGCTTTTACCCAAACACAGTTCCCTCCCTAAGAGGAATTCTGGTGCCAGCCGCTAAGACCCCTTTTCTTGGTACCCCTCACAAAGGCTCCTGGTGGAGCCACACCCAAGGAGGCACTGCAAAAAACCATTCCCAGGATCTGGCTGGCTCTTGATGTATCCCCCAGAGCTGAGTTTGGAGGCCTGGGGTTGCTCTTCACAGAGAAGAAAAGACTCCAGGGAGATGGGGGAAGTGTGGAACCCTACTGCAGTGGAGGTCACTGAAGGGGCTCTGGGGACCCTGGAGCACACACGGTGCAGATGTGGAGGAAGAGCACCCTGCAAACAGGCCTGGGGCTGCCCTGAGTGGAGGCACAGACATATTTTCAGTCGCTCCAGAGAGTTGGTGGGATGGAAATTGCAGGATTGCAGATTTCAACAGAACTCGAGGAGGCATTTCTTCCTTTTCTTTTTTCATTTTTTTTTTTTTTTGAGACGGAGTCTTGCTCTGTCACCCAGGCTGGAGTGCAGTGGCGCGATCTTCGCTCACTGCAAGCTCCACCTGGAGGAGGCATTTCTAACAGAAGTCATTGTTTGACTGTGCAGGGATGTCTCGTGAGGTGGTGTGGTGCTGCAGACTTAAGCTATCTGCTTTGAAGATATTTTATGGGATATTTATTTATTTATTTATTCATTTTTGAGACAGGCTCTCACTCCGTCGCCCAGGCTGGAGTGCAGCGGTGCAATTTTGGCTCACCGTAACCCTTGCCTCCCGGGTTCAAATGATCCTCTCACTTCAGTCTCTCAGGTAGCTGGGACCACAGGCACACACACCACCATGCCCAGCTAATTAATTTTTTTGTAGAGACAGGTCTCACTCTGTTGCCCAGGCTGGTCTTGAACTCCTGGGCTCAAGCGATCCTCCCACCTTGGTCCCTCCCAAAATATTAAGGTTACAGGCCTGAGCCACCATGCCCAGCCTCTATGGGAGATTTAAACAGTCCATTCTTAAACACCAGTCCAGGAAAAGGTCTTCACCAGTCATAGCAAATCAGAAAACAGGGACAATGTATTTTTTATGAAGCTACATTTGTTTTTTGTCTTTGTTTGTTTGTTGGTTTTTGAGACAGGGTTTTGCTCTGTCACCAAGGCTGGAGTGCAGTGGTGCGATCACAGCTCATTGCAGCCTCTATCTCCTGGGCTCAAGCAATCCTCCCACCTCAGCCTCCTGAGTAGCTGGGACCACAGGAGTGTGCCTCCATGCCTGGCTTATTTTTAAAAAATGTCTGTAGAGATGGGGGTCCCCCTATTTTGCCCAGTCTGGTTTCAAACTCCTGGGCTCAAGTGATCCTCATCTCAAAGTGTTGGGATTACAGGCGTGAACCACCATGCCCAGTTATGAAGCTTTATTTGCCAAGAATATATTCTAAGATTGGTTCCTTACAAATTTTTTCTTCTAAAATGGTCTTTCTTTATGAAATGATGATGAGAGTAAATGGCAGCCGTTTTGTTTGTTTGTTTGTTTTGAGACGAAGTCTCACTCTGACGCTCAGGCTGGAATGCAGTGGTGGATCTCAGCTCACTGCAACCTCCGCCTCCTGGGTTCAAGTGATTCTCCTGCCTCAACCTCTCAAGTAGCTGGGATTACAAGTGCCCACCACCACGCCCAGCTAATTTTTGTATTTTTGGTAGAGACGGGGTTCCACCATGTTGGCCAGGCTGGTCTTGAACTCCTGACTTCATGTGATCCTCCCGCCTCAGCCTCCCAAAGTGCTGGGATAACAGGCATGAGCCACCGAGCCTGGCCGGCAGCTGTTTTATTTTTAAGTTTCATTTAGCAAAAAATAAATTTAAGAAGTTTGCAACAGTACATCAGCCTCTATTTAAAAAAAAAAAAAATTGGTCTTAAAATTCCTAAAGCTTGGAGCTCCCTGGACTGAGTGGCACTTATAGTTCCTTCTGGTTGTATGGTTTAATCATAAGGCACAGGGCCTGACTGGCACGGCCACGCCTTCCCACATTCTTCTCACCTCCTGTATGTCCTCTCCCCCAGTTTGGGATGAACGCGCTTCTCCTGTCTGCCTGGTTCGGCCACTTACGAATACTCCAGATCCTGGTAAACTCGGGGGCCAAGATCCACTGTAAGAGCAAGGTAAGGCTTCAGCTGGTAACCCTCTGTCCCCTCGGCTCCCCTGGCCCTGGATGCACAGGTCTCCCCCAACCTCTGCCCCCCACCCCCACTTGCCCCTCCAGTCCCCCACCTGCCTTTGCCTGTCCCTCTTTCTTCTGATCTCCCCCACCTCTCTTCTATTCAGTGAGTTGGGACAGTCCCCAGCCCTCTGACTGGCCTCCTTGTTTGTAGGAGAGAAATCAAAGTAACTCCCTCAGAGGGTAGTTAGGAAAATTAAATGAGAAGGAGGTGAGGTCTCTTCCACCCTCCTGCCAGGCCTCGTACCCATTGTGCTCAGTGTGGTGGGGTGAAAGGAGCAAAGCATCATTTACCAAGTGTGGTATGGTAGGTGAGTTACTCTATCAGCCTGCACTGTGGTTTGAGGGAGCAGGGCCTCAGCAAGTGAGAGTGCCCGGAATCCCTCCGCCGGTGTCTCACCTTTTAGGGTGTCAGTTGCCCATAGGAAAATGCAAACATTTCTGGGCCAAATCCCTCAGCCAGGAGTTCTCACATGGGTTCTTGGAGAAAATTCAGAGGACCTATGAACTTGGATTGGAAAACAGTGCATATTTATTTTGGCTAACTTCTTGAAAATTTAGCATTTTTTTCTTTCTTTCTTTTTTTTTTTTTTTGAGATGGAGTCTTGCTCGGTCACCCAAGCTGGAGTGTAGTGGCGCGATCTCAGCTCATTGCAACCTCCGCCTTCTGGGTTCAAGCAATTCTCCTGCCTCAGCCTCCAGAGTAGCTGGGACTATAGGCACGTGCCACCACGCCCAACTAATTAGCATTTTTTTCAACGTTGAATGTAGGTAATATTAGTACTTGTGACTTTGTCACTAATAGAAAATGTAGCTATTTTCATATCACATGAAAGTTTTTGCAGTTATCTTAAAATACTCCTTACATTTATCATTACATTGAAATTACGGCAGTGATTAGACCCTTCAGTAGATCTTGTTGTTTAACAGGTCAGTAAGGAAGCACATGTGTTACTAGATTGAAAACTTGGTTTGTAATATTTTGATAACTTAATTTCAATATAATTGGTTTCCTTTTATGGTAGGCAGAATAATGTCACTTCAAAGATGTCCATATCCTAATTCCTAGAACGTCTGAACCCCCAGAACCTAACACGCCAATAGGAATTTGTTGGGTGTGATGCGATGTGTGTGAGGTGTGATGAAGGAGGCAGGGGTGGAGCGATGCGAGCCACTAGCCAAGGAATTTGGTTAGCTTCTAGAAGCTGGAAAAGGACAGGAAATGGGTTTTCCCCAAGAGCTTCCAGAAGAAACACAGCATTGCCAACCCAATTTAGACTTCTGACTTTCAGTATTGTAAAATAATAAATTTGTGCTGTTTTACGCCATGAAGCTATGGTAATTTGTTATAGCAGCAATAGAAAACGAACACGCCATTGTAAGCCTGTTTAATTGATTAAATTTTTTTCCTGTATAATTTATTTTTTTGCATTTAAGTAAATGTTATTCTGAGAAGGGGCCTATAGGCTTCACCAGATGTAAAAGGGTCATGGCACGTAAGAGGTCTGTTTCATGCCATTGTTAGGATCCTGTTGGTAGTGGTGGGAGTGCCTGAAAGCATTTGGGTTGGAAAATCCATCCCAGAGAACCATGCCCCTATGTGGTGGGTCACAAGATCTGAGCTGGAGTGTGGGAGGGAGGGGCCAGCAGGAGGGTACCCTGTGAATACACCCAGGTTCAAGCTCAGGGTTCTGCTGTCTGGTCCTGCTGGCCTGGCCTGGCTTGGCCTTGGAAGGGCTCAGTGGCCCTGGGGAATCCAGTGTTGTCTTGATGTAGTATACTATAAACAGAGTTGTGAATGAGCCTCCATGTTCTAGAATGAGGAAGGCTGGGTCTTGGGTGTATGTGGAGGGTGAGGTTCTGAGTCATGGACTCTTCTAGTTAAGCAGATCCCCTCTATATTCATTTTTTGTTTTTGGCAACAAATCACTCTAAAATATAAAAGTAATGAATCTGAAAGTAACGATATATTATTTTCCACAATTCTGTGGTTGGCAGGCAGTTCCTGTGGCTTTGCCTGGGCTCACCTACAAGGCTGCAGTCAGCAGGTGGGTGGGCTGGGGGCTGGCTGGCCCTGGAGGGTCTCACTCACATGTCTGGAGCCTCTGCAGGAAGGGTTGGAACGTCTGGGATGGTGCGGCTAGTTTCTCCAGGTGGCCACTGATCCTTAGGGAGTCCAGCATAGACTTCCTTACCTGTCTGCCTCAGGGCAGCAAAAGATCCAGAGCAGAACTGGCAAGGGCTCTCGAGGCCAAGGCTGGAAAGCCACGTGGTATCACCTCCATTGCATTCAAAAGCCCGTCACAGGACCAGTGTAGATTCTCGGTGAGAAGAGTGGCACGATCCGAGGGTGTGCTTCCAAGGGCAGGGGGAATAGATGCAGCCAGCTTTGCAAATGATAGACCCCACTCTTCCTTTCAATCTCTCATTCAAGGTCTTCCCCAAAGGGATTCATCCCACCTGTAGATGCCACAGGCCCAGTCGTGCTTCTGCCCTGAAGCTTTTTCCTTTCCCTGCTGTTTACGTATCTCTACTGGTGATAGTTACAGTTTTACTAAACTATAGACTATAATAAGATTTCAGCAGTTTTTCCATTAATATTCTACAATGCTTTAGTCATTTTGTCTTCTTAGTCTCTTCGAATCTTGTGATGATTTCTTAGTTTTTCCTTGTTTTCCATGACCTTAACCCTTTTGGAGAGTAGTAGTCAAGTATTTTGTGGAATGCCCTTCAATTTGGGTTTGTCTCATGTTTTTCTCATGAAAATCATCAGTCCAGGGCTATGGAATTTGGGAAGAACACAAGAGGGAAGTGCCCTTCTCATCCCTTCATATCAAGGGGTCCATGATACCAACATGAAATACACACATTGGGTCGGGCATGGTGGCTCACGCCTGTAATCCCAGCACTTTAGGAGGCCGAGGTGGGCGGATTGCCTGAGTTCAGGAGTTCGAAACCAGCCTAGGCAACATGGCGAAACCCCATATCTACTAAAAATAAAAAAAATTAACCGGGCGCGCTGGAGGGTGCCTGTAATCCCAGCTCCTCGGGAGCTGAGGCAGGAGAATTGCTTGAACCCAGGGGGCAGTGAGCCGAGATTGTGCCACTGCACTCTAGCCTGGGAGACAGGGCGAGACTCTGACTCAAAAAAAAAAAAAGAAATACACACATTGAAAGTTTATACTCACTGAGATTTGACCACTGTCAAGATGTAAAACACTGTTCTACTGATTTTTATGACTCACTGTTGGGTTGCAAACATGACTTCAAATAATCTGACCTTAATGCAAGGCAGAAGTAGAAGCCCTGGGGCATAAATATAGTATTTTCAAGCCTCCCTCCTTTTGCTTCTAGGCCCCAGAGACCTTCTTCCTGTCCACCCTCAACCCAGGCCACTTCCCTCTACTCCCTGCAGACCACATCTGCTCTTAATCTGCCCTAGAAGGTGAGGAGGTCACTTCCTAGTGACATACACTGGTCACTTAGTCACCTGCTTCTTCTTTAGTAGCTGTATCAAGGGAGGCAGATGCCTAGAACCTTCTTAATTATTCTGGAGGCTACTAGTGCTATATGACCTCATCATACATGTTTGAATTAATTTTTAGTTGATAAAATACTTTTCCTGTAGGTCCAGTCCTCTCAACCACCCACTGAGATGGTCAGGGATTATGATGCTAGTTTGTCCTATGTGAAAATGGAGGCTCAGAGAGGTGGAGGTAACTGGCCCAAGACTCTGGAGCTGAGGGGTGCTGGAGCTGGGATTTGAACTTTGGCATCCTGACTCCTGCTGGCCCCTCTGAGGCTGAGTGGGCAGCAGAGTGGGTTATCCCTGGGGTCCGTTCATCATTTATAGTGTTGTGTCCACGGGGAGGCTGCGTTCTGGGTCCCAAACACTCGCTGTCTGGGAGACTGGCAGCATGTGAAAAGGGCCTCCCTTCGCAGACTGCAGGGACCTTCCTGCACTCGTTTCCAGGATGGCCTGACCTTACTGCACTGCGCAGCCCAAAAAGGCCACGTGCCTGTGCTGGCGTTCATAATGGAGGACCTGGAGGATGTGGCCCTGGACCACGTAGACAAGGTGAGAGTGCCTCAGGGCTACTACTCATCATTCCCACTGGGCGGGGGGCTCCTGGGGCCACTCTTGCCCACTGAGCTTACCACATTCCTTGGGTGCATCCTTTGATCTGTGGGCATATTGCACCTGGCCTGGGGAGCCGCTGGTTGGGAAGAGGTGTTGGGGCACAAACGAGCAGAATACAAGCAGAACACAGTCAGTTGCCGCAGAGAGGCCCTGATCAAGGACTAGGTGGGTTAGAAAAGCAAGCCATTGCTTCTGCTTCCTGGAGGAGGTGGCATTTGGTAAATAAACTGGATTTGTGGGTAAGATTGGAAATCAGGGGTTGGAAGGGGCACCAAATGGAAGAGCGAGGCTTGTGGGAGCTTTAGGGACAGGAAAGGGTTCTAGTGTGAGTTCTAAGGGGCTGGAATCTTAGGTGGGAAGGTCTGATGGGTGGTTGGAGGTCCCTCTGGAGATCTCAACTCCCATCCTCAAGAATCTGTTTATTCATTAGGCAGCAAGGAGCCACCTAAGGACTGGCCAGGGAGGGACCCCAGCAAGTGGCTCTCGTTGGGAAGTTGGGTCTGGGCTTTCCAGGCAGAGTGTGGGAAAGCAAGTGGAGAGGACAGTGTCTGGGGCAGGAGAGGCCACTGCAAAGCCAGAGTGGTTGGGAAACAGAGGCCAGGTGGGCAGAGGCACGTATGCCCACTGACAGAGTGAGGAAGGCTCACACCACTTCTCCTGCTGGCCAGCTGGGGAGGACGGCGTTTCACCGGGCAGCTGAGCACGGGCAGCTGGATGCTCTGGATTTCCTCGTGGGCTCTGGCTGTGACCACAGTGTCAAAGACAAGGTACTGTGTCCGTGAGGCTCTGGGATCCTGACCAGGGTGCAAAACTTGCCAGCTTCCAGGCTCTGGCTCCTCACATGTGTCCACATCTGACTCCCATTGTGCTGGAGGGCCATGTGCCCCAAAGACGAGAGCATATTTAGTGTTCATCCAGCAGGCCCTTCACTAGCATGCGTTATGGGCCCACCCTATGCTACAGGTTGGTGGCAAAAAGATGCCCAAGACACCGTTTCTTACTCGAGGAACTCAGTGCCACAGTCATAGTAAGGATTTCTGATCTGACGTGGCTGTCCAGGGTGGCAGATCTGGGTGGTTGGTAGTGCTGCCTGGAGTGCGTTGAGCAGGGCTGTAATCTACTGGGGTTGTCTGTTGTTGGCAGACGTGGGCAAGTGTTAGGGGGTGGTAGCCACACAACTGCTCTGCTATGGTTATGGCAGGAATAGGATGGGAGCATGGAGGAGGGAGCGTATCATTCAGGGCTTATAAGCAGAATTTCACTAATCTGAGAAGGGGTAAGTGATGGGGACCGGAGGGTCTACGCTGTAAATGACTCTTATCATTGGACCCTTGTGAATCATTAGGGAAAATATATTACAGCAAATTCTTTTTTTTTGAGGCAGAGTCTCACTCTGTTGCCCAGTCTGGAGTGTAGTGGTGCCATCTTGGCTCACTGCAACTTCCGCCTCCCGGGTTCACGCCATTCTCCTACCTCAACCTCCCTAGTAGCTGGGACTATAGGTGTCTGCCACCATGTCTGGCTAATTTTTTTGTATTTTCAGTAGAGATGGGGTTTCACCGTGTTGGCCAGGATGGTCTTGATCTCCTGACCTCGTGACCTGCCCACCTTGGCCTCCCAAAGTGCTGGGATTACAAGTGTGAGCCACCACGCCCGGCCTGTTGCAGCAAATTCTAAATGATGCCTCCAACAAAGAGATTAACTCCATTATTAATCTTCTGGTTAATGTGCTTGGCCAGGATAGAGGGAGTTCTGTGTATACCGAAGTGATAGAGAGCTCACACACAAATCCACTGCCGGGTCTTGGAACTGGAAGGCATCTGAATTCAGCCTTCTCGTTTTACAGCTGTGGAAACTGACGCCCAGAGAGGGAGATGCCTTAGCCAAGGTCACACAGCGAGACACAGGTAGAGCTGGATTTGGGAGCAGCATCCTAATGCATAAAGCTGTGCTCCTCCCCTTACCAGGCTGCCTCCTGGGTTGGACCCCCTTGGGTTCTGCACTGAGTCCATCCACACTCATCCTTTTGGGTTGAGCAGGTGGTTGAGCAAGGCACTGGGCCAGGAACTGGGCATACAGGGAATGGGGAGGGCAGCACCTGCCAGGACTGGCTAACCCAAGAGGCAAAATGATCACACCTCAGGGCCCCAGGAGAGCATGAGCATCAAGAACAGATAAAGAGAACATACAGCTTTGATGAACTTCTCCAGAATCTTGCAATCAGAAATTCTGCAAAGAAGCTTTTAAAATTGCATACCCCTGTTAAGTTTTGTGTTTTCAGAATAGGAGTGTTTTCATTTTCAGTTTCATCTGGGGAGGGGGCATGGTAAGTTTTTCAATGCCTGCTAAGGGGATAGACCTCTTAGAGTCAATGACAACACAGGTCACTCCACGTGTGCTCTAGAATGCTAGGGAGGCTTTGAGAGCCCAGAGAGAGCGACTAACTCCACTTGGAAGGGTGAAGTGTTGCTGTCAAGGCCTCACAGAGGCGGAGATGCTGGACATCCCCAAGGTGGAGGGGAGAGGACCCTGGGCCCACGCCAAGGCTGCCTTCTGCCCAGCTCTCCTGCCTCTGAGCCCCCTGCCCTGCCCAGGAAAATGTGAGCGCCTGTCAGGCATCCATGTGTGCCACCTGCAGCTTCAAATGCCAGAACATGGATATTTATAACCCAGAAGGAAGAAGAAAGCCCCACCATTGACTCTACACCCTGTTAACTGGGGGCATGTGTTGGCCTTTCACGGTTCACCTGCTTCCTGCGTATCTCTGAACACAGTGATTTCACACTGTGACTGCATTTCCCACTGCTTGTCCTGGCTTGCAGCAGCCAGCCGACAGGCTACAGGCTGCAGAGAAGCTGGCAAGGAGAGAAAAACAAAGCTGTTGAGGGCTTTTTAAAATTACTTTACAATTTTATTATTTTTAGCTGAATTCATTTTTTTTTTTTTTTTTGAGACAATATCTTACTCTGTTGCCCAGGCTGGAGTGTAGTGGCGCAATCACAGCTCATTGCAGCCTCAACTTCCCATGCTCAAGCAATCCTCCTGCCTCAGTCTCTCCAGTATCTGGGACTACAGGCACGCACCACCACATCTGGCTAATTTTTGTATTTTTTGTAGAGATGGAGTCTCACTATATTGCCCAGACTGGAATTCCTGGGCTCAAGCTATCTGCCCACCTCAGCCTCCCAAAGTGCTGGGACTACAGGTGTGAGGCACCATGCCCGGCAGGGAGATCCCTTTAAAGGACAACCCCAAGCAGGCTGACCTCAGCAGGGTTCACTTCAAATACAGAGTACGTTGCACCCTCTGCCCTGCCCAATGCAGCTGCTTCTCTTGGCTATGTCACTGTCACCTTTAGACTTTCCAAGTGCAAAGCAACTACCAGTCCTCTGGCCTTCAAGTTCCAGGGACACATGTCAGGTTCTCCACATGATCCCCTGAAGACCCTCCTACATTTTTGACTCATTGAACAAACATCTACTGAGTGTTGGCCATGTGCCCCAGGTCCTATTCTAGGCACTTAAGGATACTTCAGAAAACAAAATAGATGCCTCTGTGGTGCTTATGTTCCAGCAACAAGGGTCAGACACGTGGAACGAATCCAAATGCCCATCAGTGATAGACTGGATAAAGAAAATGTGGCACATATACACCACGGAATACTATGCAGCCATAAAAAGGAATGAGATCATGTCCTTTGCAGGGACGTGGATGAAGCTGGAAACCATCATTCTCAGCAAACTATCACAGGAACAGAAAACCAAGCACTGTATGTTCTCACTCATAAGTGGGGGCTGAACAATGAGAACCACATGGACACAGGGAGGGGGACAACGCACACCGGGGCCTGGTTTCAGGGGGCGAGGGGAGGAAGAGCATCAGGATACATAGCTAATGCATGCGGGGCTTAATACCCAGGTGACGGGTTGATAGGTGCAGCAAACCACCATGGCACACATTTACCTATGTAACAAATCTGCACATTCTGCACATGTATCCCAGAACTTAAAGTAAAATAATAAAGAAAAAAAGAGACGATAAACACTAAGCACACAGCCACTGACAGAGTGTGTTGGCAAGGTGATCCGTGCAGTGGGGAGAGGAAAAGCAGGGCAGGAAAATAGGCTCAGGAGGACAGAGGTGGGGTTTGCAGTTTCAGAGTGTGGCCCGGGTAGGCCACGCTACTCAATAAGAAACTAACGTCTCACACAGAGACTTGAGGGAGGCAGGTGACTGAACCAAGCAGCTGCCTGGAACAGCCTGAGCTCAGGGGAGAGTTGCTGGGGCCTTGAGCAGTGAGAGGAGATGGATTTGGGGGACCCAAGGAGAGACTGGCTTCAGATGGGCACGTGGAAAGTAGAATTGGTTTTGTTTAATTTTTAAGCAATGTGCCTGCCTTGAAGTATAAGGAAAGAAAGACCAGGGCTTGGCCCTGCAATCTGCCCCTGGTTGTAGTTTTTGGCACAGTTGTCAGGAGCGGGGTGGCACTGACCCAGTGTGCATGGCTGCAGCTCATCACAGGTCTGTGATTCTGGGGCTCTCTGGTCTGCTGGCCTCTCAGGAGCCCTTTTTCCTGCAGGAGGGGAACACAGCCCTTCATCTGGCTGCTGGTCGGGGCCATGTGGCTGTGCTGCAGCGACTTGTGGACATCGGGCTGGACCTGGAGGAGCAGAATGCAGTGAGTCACCACCTGGGGGATGGCGAGATGCATGACCCTTGCTTGCTGTCTGCCTTCGAGGAACCCCCACCAATCCATGGTGCAGTCTAAAGCCAGGAGGCTGAGGGCATGATCTCAAACTGAGAGCCCACCAGGGAAAGACAAGCAGCAGCACTGAACTCCAGGCTTAATGGTGGCACTTGGCAGGACGGATCACCAAATAAGTGAGACACAGAGTGTGTGTTCAAAGAAGGGAGACGTTGCCATGGACAGGATGGAGACGGAGGGCTTGCTGGAGTAGGAGGAAACAGACAGAGCGGGAGGGGCGGAACGTGAGCAGAGATGTGGAGCCAGGAGTGACTATGCCATGTGTGTGCTCCACAAAGTGAGGACTTCAGGGGTGGGGCTCATGGGATCACAAACAAGAAAGCTCATTTTTCCCAGGGGCAGGGCAGCGGAGAGCTCAAGGGGCCCTGGGGCCAAGGCAAAGGGCGTCGTTCACGGTGGGATTGGGGTCACCTTGGGTTGGCCTTCCCCCCCCATCCTCATTGCTTCTCTTATTGTGTTGAGGGAAGGTCTGAGGCCCTGCATGGCGGCTGCTTGGACGGCCACCCTTGACTGTGTGCGGGGTCCTCTCGGCTGGGAAGCACCGAATGCGCTCACGCAGGTCGCCAAGGCCCTCCCAGACTGCGGGTCTGCTCTTGTCTGCTGAGCCATAGGGGGCCGTGGTCGGCAGTAATGCACAGTGGGTTCCTGAAGCCCTGAGTGGATAGGAGGCTTCGAGGCAGGGCAGGGTGCCAGATTCTGCGTGCTTCTCCACTGTTGAGCCTGTTGACCGGAGGCGGTTATACTTAACTCTCTGAGGGCCTTGTTCCACATTATAAAGTGGGATGACATTTTACTTTTTACTTATTGTGAGGATTAAATATCTACCACAGTTGCCAGGGACATAATTAGGGGGCCCAACACCTTCAACACCTTGTATTATGTTTTTGGTTTTTCTTTTGGAGATGGGTCTTCTCTGTCACCCAGGCTGAGTGGCAATGGTGTTGATTTGGCTCCTGCACCTTCCGCCTCCGGGGTTCAAGGCAGTTTCCCTGCCTCAGCTCCAAGTAGGCTGGGACTAATAGGTGTGTACCAACGGCCTGGCTAGGTTTTTTATTTTCGTTTTTTTTTTTGGTAGAGACAGGGTTCTCCCCATGTGTGGCCAGGCTGGTCTTTGAACCCCTGGGACCCTCAAGTGATCGCGGCCTCAAGCTTCCAAGGTGCTCGGGATTAATGGTGGGGAGCATTTGCACCTTGGCCCTGTTAGTATCTGTTCCATTCTTGTTGAGCTCTGATAGTTCACAAAGGCCCCTTGCCTGTTACCTCAGAAAATTCCCCCCTTTTGCAGATGGAAACTGAGGCTTTGGTGGGCACTTTCGGCAGGGTCCACGCTAGTACGGGGGGCAGTTGAGTCAAAGCCTGTTCCCCTGATTCCAGAGCTCCCCACCCACTGACGGAAGGCTTTCCCTCTGGACTAGGCTGGGGGCTTGGGGATGTGGCCCTGGATGAAACCTTCTCTTTCTCCCCTTTGTTACTCATCAATTTCTGCCAGTAACTTCTCCTCTATGACCCTGGAAGTGGGGGTGTGCCTTGCTTTAGGTAGTGAGTTGGTGTTTTCTTTGTACTTTTTTTGTTTTTTTGGAGGCGGGAAGTCTCACTCTGTCGCCCAGGCTGGAGTGCAGGTGGGCGCGATCTCGGTCACCGCACTCGCCCTTCCCAGGTCGGTTTTGCCATTTTTCTTCCTGCCTCGCTTCCGAGTAGCTGGGACTACAGGCGGCCCGCCACACGGCCCGGCTTTAATTTTTTGTTTTTAGTAGGAGACGGGATTACACCGTGTTAAGCAGGGATAGTCGATCTCCTGACTTCGTGATCTGCCCGCCTCGGCTCCCAAAGTGCAGGGATTACAGGCATGAGCCACCGCGCCCAGCCTGCTTTTTATTTTTGTATCAGTGACAAATAACCTTTTTGGCTGGTTGAATGGCTTCAGGTTCTGGAATTCTTGCTTTGTTCTAAATGTCAATAGTATAGCAAAAATATTAATAATAAATAATACAATATAAATAATAGCAAAAATACACAGGCAGTTCAAAAACAGAGAATTAAAATGTTATGCTAAAAAATATTTATTTCCCCACTGCTTAATTTGACTGGCTTTGAAAAAAAAAGGCTGGGCAAGGTGGCTCATGCTTGTAACGCAGCACTCTGGGAGGCCAAAGCTGGAAGATTGCTTGAGCCCGGGAGTTTGAGGCTGCAGTGAGCTATGATTGCACCACTGTACTCCAACCTGGGTGACAGAGTGAGACCCTGTCTCAAGGAAAAAAAAAAAAGAGAGACTGGGAAGGTTGCACCCAGCTGGGTGGCCACTGGGTGGTGGGCTTGAGCTGCTCATCACGCCAGGACTTGGGCTTCAGCCTCAGCTTGCGGTTTCAGGTAGAGGCCACATTCCATTTCAACACTCCCACCCCTCCCAGAATGTCATGGTGCAGGGTCTCGGAAGAGGTACCAAGCCCACGGTGACTGCATTTCCCATTGGGAGATGGACTGAGTCCCACACACCACAGGTACTCACTCAGTTGGGACTTTAGCAGGGTGGCTAGCTAGTCCTGGTTTGCCCCATACTGTCCTGATTTTAAAATGGAAAGTCCCACATCTCAAGAACTCCTCAATCCTGGGCAAACTGAGACAGTGGGTCACCCTAGTGGGGCCTGTCTGGTGTGTGCCTTGTGCAAGGTGATCATTGGGCTGGGCTGGGCTCTGACTGAAAGAGAGCACTTTGAGGCCCACTGAGACCAAGCCTCCATTCTGGCCCTGCCAGGATCCTGTTTGGATGCACCAAGACCAGCTTGGGTTGGGCAGTGCATGCTGGGTGGAGTTTGCTCTGTATTGGCAAATCTTATTTGTCTTCCTCTTTAAAAACCACCTCCTGGCCAGGCGTGGTGGCTCACGCCTATAATCCCAGCACTTTGGGAGGCCGAGACCAGTGAATCACAAGATCAGGAGTTCAAGACCAGCCTGGCTAACATGGTGAAACCCCGTCTCCACTAAAAATACAAAAATTAGCTGGGCGTGGTGGCAGGTGCCTGTAATCCCAGCTACTCGGGAGGCTGAGGTAGGAGAATTGCTTCAACCTGGGAGGTGGAGGTTGCAGTGAGCCGAGATTGTGCCACTGTACTCCAGCCTGGGTGACAGAGTGAGACTCTGTCTTGGGGGAAAAAAAGAAAACCACCTCCTTAGAGTCAATCGACTGCATGTCTTTACCAGTCATAGACTTGGGCAGGCTTTGGTCTACATTCTTGCATTTGTGATAGGAGGTGAGGAAAAGACTGAGACCATAGTGAGTTCCTTTTACTGGTCACCAGGCCTGGGAAAGTCATTGATTTCTCCAGCCTCAGTTTAATGGGGATAATACTCCCAGCGGTGTTGTGACACTCAGATGGAAAAATGAATCTCAAAGAGCTTTGCAAACCTCAGTAGGAGTGGTCCTTGTGATATTGCATTGATGCCTGTTTCCTTCTAGAAAAACCTAAGCTGCCTTCACTATGCAGCCCTCAGTGGCTCGGAGGATGTGTCTCGGGTCCTCATCCATGCAGGAGGCTGCACCAACGTGGCTGATCATGTAAGCGTGGGTGCGAGGGTTGAAGGGGGTCTCCATTGCAAAGCCTTCCATGAGCACACTAATGAAGCACAAGGAGAAACGGGAACATCAGACTCTTGGGGTTGGGGTGCGGACCAGGAGTAGGGGAGCCGGCAGCACTTAGGAGAGTGAAATACTGTTGTGGCTGTAATAGGATTAGAAACCAAGCTTGCAATTCCTCTGAACTGAACCATCAGCTCCTGTTCTCTGCTCATTTATGCATTGGGGCGTTTTTGTTTTTTTTTTTTTGACGGAGTCTTGCTCTGTTGCCCTGGTTGGAGTGCAGTGGTGCAATCTCGGCTCACTGCAGCCTCTGCCTCCCAGGTTCAAGCAATTCTCCTGCCTCAGCCTCCTGAATAGCAGCTGGAACTAGAGGCACACACCACCATGCCTGGCTAATTTTTTTTGTATTTTTGGTAGAAAAATACATGGGGTTTCACCACGTTGGCCAGGCTGGTCATGAACTCCTGACTCAAGTGATTCGCCTGCCTCAGCCTCCCAAAGTGCTGGGATTACAGGCATGAGTCACTGTGCCAAACCTAGGCATTGGGTTTTACTATTAATCTTTTATGTTGCCTATCTGTCCACTTAATTGTTAATCTTTTTCCTGTTATACATTTGGTCCACACACAGGAACCATATAATCTTTTGGTTAAAACACAGACTTTGGGAGTGCAGTGCTTCACACCTGTAATCCCAGCACTATGGGAGGCTGAGGCTAGAGTATTGCTTGAGCTCAGGACTTCAAGACCAGCCTGGGTAATCTAGGGAGATCCCATCTCTACAAATTTTTTTTTGAAAAACTGGCTGGTCGTGGTGGTATACACATGTAGTCCTAGCTATTCGGGAGGCTGAGGCAAGAGGACTGCTTGAGCCCAGGAGGTTGAGGCCACAGTGGGCCATGATCACACCACTGCACTCCAGCCTGGGCAACAGAGTGAGCTTCTGTCTCAAAAAATAAAAGAAAGAAAGAACCAGTCAGGGAAGAGTATAATGGCTCGTGCCTATAATCCCAGCACTTTGGGAGGCCAAGGTGGCAGTGAATCACAAGATCAGGAGTTCGAGACTCGGACTGGGGACAAACGGTGAAGCACAGGCCAAGCCTGGCAACATGGCAAACCCCATCTCTACAAAAAATATAGAAAATTACCAGGCGTGGCTGGGTGCGGTGCTCACATCTGTAATCCCAGCACTTTTGGAGGCCAAGGCTGGCAGATCATGAGGTCAGTAGATCAAGATCATCCTGGCTAACACGGTGAAACCCTGTCCTCTACTAAAAATACAACAAAAATTGCCAGCGCGGCGGCGCTCTCGCCTGTAATCCCAGCACTTTGGGAGGCCGAGGCGGCGGATCCACCAAGGTCAAGCGAGATTGCGACCATCCTGCTAACACCGACTGAAGGCCGGGGCAATCTCTACTACAAAATCAAAAATTAGCCGGGCGTGGGTGTGCATGCCTGTTGTCCCCAGCTTCTTGGAGGCTTGAAGGCAGGGAATGCGTGAACCCAGGAGGCGGGAGCCTGTGCAGTGAGCCAGAGCATGGGCCACTGCACTCCAGCCCTGGATGACAAAGCCGAGACTCCGTCCTACAAAAAACAAACACAACAAAACAAAAACAAATAAAATACAAAAATTAGCCAGGCCGTGGTGGCAGGCACCTGTATCCCCAGCTCTTGGCGGCTGAGGCAGGAAATCACTGAACCCCGGAGGCAGAAGCTTGCAGTGAGCCGAGATTCCACACCACGCACTCCAGCCTGGCGACAGATGAAGACTCCATCTTAAAAAACAAAAACAAACAAAAAAAGAGGCAGGGGCCGTGCGGGATGGCTTATGCTGTAATACCCAAGCATCTTGGGAGGCCCAAGGCCGGTGGCGTGGTCACGAAAGTCAGAGAGATCAAGACCATCCTGGCTTAACAATGGTGAAACCCCGTCTTTACTAAAATACAAAAAAAAATTAGCCGGCGTGATGGTGGGCGCCAGTGTCCCAGCCTACCCTCAGCAGGGCTGAGGCGGGAGAAATGGTGTGAACCCGGAAGTGGACGCTGTCCGTGAGCCGAGATTGTGCTGCCTGCACTCCAGCTGGGCGACAGAGCACGAACTCTGCCTCAATATAAAGAAAAGAAAGAAAGAGAAATTAGTGTCAGGCATAGTGGTGTGATCCCTGTATCCCAGCTACTGGAGGCTGAGGCCGCGAGAATCACTTGAACTGCGGGAGGCAGAAGTTGCAGTGAGCTGAGGATCGCTCCCTGTTACTTCCAGCCTGGGCAACAGAGTGAGACTGCTCTCAAAAAAAAAAAAAAAAAAAAAAAAAAGTAGTGGGAGTTTCAAATGGTAACTACCTTTCTAGAAGGCAAGAAAAAAAAAAAAAAAAAAGGTGGATACCTGAATTAAATAATTAAAATGTAAAAATGACAGAAAAAAAAAAAAAAAAAGGCTTTGTATGCTGACACTACAAACTGAATAACCTTGCGCAAGCTACTTGGACCTTTTTGGGCCCGTTTCCTTACCTATAAGTACCATTATTATTCCTATTATAAAAAAAAAAAAAAAAATATGGTTTATATCAGAAAGGGATCATTTCGTATAACTAAAACAAAAAAAAAAAAAAAAAATATTATAGAAACAGTATTACACAATTCATTGGAATATAGAGAAAAAAAAAAAAAAAAAAACCAAAGCCCTAGTAAAACAAGGACTTTTTTTTAATGCCCTCCCAAAAAAAAAAAAAAAAAGAGTATCACCTCCAGCTAGAAAGAATTCAGGCTAAATGCTTACTTTTTTCTGCCCATCAAGACACCAGAATCCTGATGCCAGCCCAGTGGTCAAACTATGAAGTTTTCCTGTTACCCACATTGAGTATGTTGTTTTCCTTTTCATTTCAGCTGTTTTCGCTGCAAAAAAAAAAAAAAAAATGTGTCACTTTTATTTGTTGTATTTGCGTTTTTAATACCAAAAAAAAAAAAAAAAAAAAAACACTGTCAAAAGACACATTCATAACAAGTGAAGGTGTTGCCAGGTGCAGTGGCTCACACCTGTAATCCCAACACTTTGGAAGGCTGAGGTGGGAGGATTGCTAAAAAAAAAAAAAAAAAGACCAGCCTGGGCAGCATAGTAAGACCCCATATCTACAAAACAAAAAAAAAAAAAAAAAATGTGGTGGTGGGTACCTACTTATAGTCCCAGATCCTCTGGGGGCTGAAGTTGAAGGATCACTTGAGCCGAGGAGGTTGAGGCTGCAGTGAGTTGTGATCACACAAAAAAAAAAAAAAAAAGGTAACACAGTGAGACCTTATCTCTAAAAAAAATTAAAATAAAAAAAAAAAAAAAAAAAACATTACAAAGTTAAAAAACAAACAACACAAGAGAAAAATGGCCAAAGGTTATGAAGAGAAATTTGGTAGAAAAGGAAACACAGAGGATTCCTAAGAGAAATGCAGGCCGGGCGCGGTGGCTCATGCCTGTAATCCCAGCACTTTGGGAGGCCGAGGCGGGTGGAAAAAAAAAAAAAAAAATTGAGACCATCCTGGCTAACTCAGTGAAACCCCGTCTCTACTAAAAAAAAAAAAAAAAAAGCCGGGCACGGTGGCCCAAGCCTGTAATCCCAGCACTTTGGGAAAAAAAAAAAAAAAAAACATGAGGTCAGGAGATTGAGACCATCCTGGCTAACACGGTGAAAAAAAAAAAAAAAAAAAAAATACAAAAAAACTCGCTGGGCGTGGTGGCGCATAAAAAAACAAAAAAAAAAAAAAAAAAGGCGCCTGTAGTCCCAGCTACTCGGGAGGCTGAGGCAGGAGAAAAAAAAAAAAAAAAAAGGCGGAGCTGCTTGAGTTGAGATCGCGCCACTGCACTACAGCCAAAAAAAAAAAAAAAAACTCCGTCTCAAAAAAGAAAAAAAAAATCAAAAATTAGCCGGGCAAAAAAAAAAAAAAAAATAGTCCCAGCTACTCAGGAGACTGAGGCAGGAGAATGGCATGAAAAAAAAAAAAAAAAAATGCAGTGAGCCGAGATCGCACCACTGCATTACAGCCTGGGCGAAAAAAAAAAAAAAAAAACTTCATATATTACCGGAAGGAGTAGAAATTGGTACAATCTGTTAAAAAAAAAAAAAAAAAATATGTATAAAACATACAAATACATGTGCCCTTTGACTCAACAAATCTAGGAATTTATTCTACAGACATACTTCCACATGTATGGAATGATAATATGTACAAGAAAAAAAAAAAAAAAAAATTTGTAATAGCAAAAGATTGAAACCCATGTTTAGGAGACAATGTAGTAAATTATGGCCCATCCCTGCAATGGAACACTGTGTAACTATAAAAAAGAATGAGGAAAAAAAAAAAAAAAAATGACTCATGCCTGTAATCCCAGCACTTTGGGAGGCTGAGGTGGAAAAAAAAAAAAAAAAAGAGTTCGAGACCAGCCTGGCCAACATGGTGAAACAGGCTTTGGAAAAAAAAAAAAAAAAATATGCTG